GCGGGAGTGTATCCACTGAAGGGAGATAGAGACGAGTCTATGACGTTCTAAGCGGACCATGGGGAGCTACCCCGTTTAGAGGAGTTGGAAGATCTTGGTTCTACACCTATTATGGTGCGGCAACTGAATTTGCCCGAGATTACTAAATATACAGTGCCACTGGGTATAATGGGCATTATGAATGTGTTCATTTCGTCCAAAGGCAGTTGGGTTCGACCGACACTAACCAAGAGACACCGCACTGTCAGGTGAACCAGTGTATTTCGGAAGCTTGGGGTGAGGTCCTCCAACCAAGTTTTTGCTGTGGTTTAGGCGACCGAGGAATACAATATATAAAAACGAACATGCATCTTACCGCATTATTCACATTGTTCGCATGCTAATTATGCACTCTGTATACCCTCAGCTTGTCGTATGCGACAATGACAATAAAATGCAGAACGCATTGCGTCTGCGAAATCGTAGGGGGAAAACTTGCTTATTTTTCAGTTCCCATAAAATTGACCTAACTTCTATGGTTTGGTCCATTGTAGACGGGATGCAAATATTGCTTCCAGTGGCGAAATTGGAGAATGAATGGGTGAACGGTGTGAAGTTCCCATGGAGAAACGTATTCATCAGTGACAGTGGTAGGCAGCTCTGCTGTCGTCCGGTTAAATACCACGATTAACCTAGCGGGGCCTTATGTAGTTCGCCACTCCAAGTCCCGGGGCTTAGGTTGCCGGTTACCATCAGTGAACAGCAGGTACTCATGATTATGGGGTTCGCCCGTCTGCTGTTCAACACACTTAGGTGTGTAATAAAAAAATAGCATTCGATGCCACTCAAAATAAACCCCACTTATTCTCTGGATAAAAGTACTCCAGTGATCAGTCATTTACGATTATAACGATCCACGGAAGAATGTCTATAACGTAAACCAATATGATTAAAATTTAAGGAAAGACGTGCTCAGAGAGAGAGGATCTTTTCCAGTATTCTGTTTTATGACGTGTTCAGTACCTTGAGAGAGGAAGAGAACTAGGATTCGCGGATANGTTAAACGCTAAAGGATGAAGTTGAAAGGTGCCACAAATTAATTCACTAAGGATAGGAATCTGGAGTGAGTGGCATCAGGATTTAATCTACAGTTCATTGAGGGATAGATAAGTAACCAAATAGGCGTGTAGTTGGTGCTTGAAACAGGTCACTACTAGTGGTACAGACGAACAAGCAATCCACCTATGTCCTACTGACAGATAATCGAACACAGTCACACGTGAGCGAGGGTTAGTCACAGACCACGAAAATCTCGTAACATGCATCGCCCAAAAAGCAATCAACGAATTACATTGAGTCATAAGTGAGACACCCCCCAAACGGTTGCGAACAGCCATGGTTAGTAATGGCCTCTATTCAACCTACGCACAGAAAATCTTTAGATCAACCAGTAAGAGGATACCCACATTTGTGTGTGCATGTGTGTGGAAGGACTAAAACCGACGAATGATAAGGCGCTGTGCAAATAGACGGCATTGTGACAATAAAGAGATATTGGAGACAGGGATGTGAATGGACAGACAGACAAGTATATGCAGGACTGTAAGCACGGTCACACAGACAGAATGAAGTGCGTGGGGACGGATGAATCGGGAAACGTTGACGGCGTCTAGGCAACCGTCACGCCCAAATACCAAACAAATCCAAACATCTGTATGGGAGCATTGCGCAAGACCCGAAAATTTGCTTCGATAATCTCTGTGGGGTTAAGCAAAAATGGTGTACTAGCATACGGAGAGGATGATGAACCGCTCGGTTGAGATCAGATCAAACAGAAGTGACAAGTTNCGCTAAGGACAAGTGCCAGGAAACATTCTGGCTGAACGAAGCTGACGATTACAATATCGATGTGGACTGACTACAATAAGCAAAGCGGACAGGAAGGGGTGAAGGGGAATGAACGCACCTTCAAATTTTTCCCATCGAATGGCAATGTACCGCTGACCAAAGTGTACAAGATCACACCCAAAGACCAGACATCCACCTCAGGGCCTTCGTATTTGCGTCCAAGGAACAACTCCGGTGCAGCGTAGGGTGGACTACCACAAAATGTGTCCAGTTTTTGTGAGGTAGAAAAATAGTTGGAAAAACCGAAATCCGCGATTTTGATATTCAAATCCGCGTCCAACAGCAGATTTTCCGCCTGCATGGGTGATGGGTCGGGGGATGATGAATTCAACGCAAACAAGGATTCGGAGGTAAAGAGATGGAGAAATAGGTTTAATGAAACGCGTGCACGTAAAAACATCTTAGCCAATGACACTCGCATTGACGAATGAATTAAAAAGCAACGAGTGCGTTTATCGACGTTTTTTCTATAGAGAAGCGAAAAACGCCAATCTATTGTATTATGCTTGTCTGAATGTTGGAAAGTTCATTCGCCCTAGTGAGATTCGAACTCGAGCATGGAAGCTATTTACGCTTTTACACAGAGCAAGTTCTTCTGGGTGAACTACGAGGCTACGCCGACGGCGCCGATTTCAGCACATTTGGATCACTCGTTCCACTTGAAAATTTCCACATGCGATAAACGCCTAATTGAAGCACGAAAGGAACTGCATACGTCAATCGTTTCAGCCTAAAGTGATAAGTAAGTCACTTGGCTAGCATGCTACTGATCGATCGGCGGAATTGCATTTCGGAAGAATGTGGTACCAGCACACCTCTGTGATGTTTCGAAGGACATTAGATTACTAATTCCGAATCACATTCATGAATCAGCATAGTGCGAGCTACGGTGCAGTACACGCCTACTTGGATAACCAGTGGGATATCGCGAGAACACAACAGATACTTCAGGTGGTTGAGGCTACCCCAGCTTATACCATCCGGAGTGAGCTCGTCTTCAAAACTACCACCAGCTGAGGCACAACTCTCAAGGCAAACAAAAGTGTCAACAACTTTTAGCTATTCATCCCGAAAGGGAAGCGCGCGTACACTTTCCTTTCAATGTGAAATTAGCAATCCGTTTTGATTGTCCATCAGTTCTTGGCATAAACAGCACATCAGGTTGTGGGATTTAGACTGCGAACCTTGTGCTCAAAAAGAATGACGGAATGACAGCACCAGTTCCCAAGTAGATTTATTTTCATATAGTGCCCCNAACTTTCATTACTTGTTTCTGTAACTACCGCAGGGATGAAAATAGGTTAGACTCAAAACCGATTGAAAAAAATGAAGAAAGCCTTCGAATGCTTCAAATGGTAGCGAATGAATGACCAAATGGATCTTCGTGCCTAAAAAATAGGGACAAGAGAGTTATCCGAAAGCGTTCTTAAAAACAGTAGTCTTGTCATGATTGATCGCTCATGAGATAGGATACAAGGCAGTGGATTGAAAAGTCGAGAGGAAACGTCAGGTTGATCGAACCAAAAAGGTACGGCTTAATGGAATATTGATTACGGGTCAACCTCTGGGTGATGAATGTGAAGTAAAGAATCACGCAAAAAGGAGAACAAACTAATAGGCAGTGAACCATCGGACAAGGATGATCAACCACAATTAGTGGGTCTAAAAATGCGACAAATATGAGTGATGAGAACGCTGGTGCAGAAGTTTTCCTCCACCATTCCGTTCCTCATATTAAGTTGATACATTTTCGCTGTCTAATGGTAGTGGAGTGACAGGTGCTTCGGACGGATAAATGCATATACACGTAGAAATAAAGGTGTTCTCCTCGTGTTCACCTAGAGGTAACATACTATGTACATAAATCCGAAGAGAGGTGAATACATTCGACAAGTGACCGGGTTCTGTGCCACACTGCTAACAACAGAAGTGAATGAATCACCCTATTCCGTATGTCTGAGATACAAGGGGACAACCCGGGTGAATCATACCCAAAACTCGTACAGGAGTGGAAGGAAAACATTACAGCGTCTAAAAAGGGAACCAAAGCAGATATAATCAAACAGTAGGATAACGGTTAACTCCAGCAACTGTAGATTAAATAACTATGATTGACAAAAATCCGAGAATGCTAATAATGAAGTGAATCCAAGATATATTTCATAGACCCTAGTACAACAATCAGCCGTATGGAATATATGGTCACAGGGACATTGTTGTTTATGCTGCTCCCCAGAACGGTGGAAACTTTGAGCTCAATAAATGGCACCCCATGAAAGTGGGATGAACCTACCTGGTGGACTGCAGTAAAGCATTCACGAAATTCCATCACATATGATACGGGTGCTCGAAGGATTTAAAAGTTGGAAAACAGTTATGATCTACTGACTACTGATCTACTATTGATCTACTCACTACTGAGAATGGATGCACAGTTAGGGATGAAACTGCCGTTTTTATGGTAGCAGTTCCGTTGGTTGTACACTCGAAAACCAAACCGCCAAATTTTCGGGTGTCGACAGCGCGTCACCCATGAAGCTGAAAGCGTTGTCTTGTCCACTGATGGATAGACGCCACCGCGGAATACAAACACCATGGGATCAAAACTAACGACGTTTTACAAAATTCATCTCTCAAGTCAATTTCGTCTGCATGGTGTCTACAAGCAAACTCCAATGAACCATTCGGAAGCGCTCTGTACACGACTGTGTAACAGAAATGGGAAGATACGCGGAACAAATTACGTTTGCGTCGGGAAGGTGCGCATGTTCGTGCATCCACAGGTACACGAACTTACTCTGGTCGCGATATAGGCAATGAGCCCGATGAGCTACAAAACTCAATCGGTTATCCCTGTCCAAATCCGTTTTGCCATCGGCGATGGCAACGGCCTCTCTGTTTGGTGCTGGCAGCTAGAATTTGAGCAGCGAAGGGTCGCTCTCTCACTCCTTCGCTCCCGGCTCTGATGCTTGCGTAATTGAGTTAACCTTCATCTTCTAAGCCAATTTCAGCATTGTCTATATTTTCCGAATGTCATTGCATTTGCTAACAAGACCCTACCACCCAGATCAGTTATTGTCAGGTCTTCCTGTTCTGTTCAAATCATGGTTATGACCACACAGAGAGAAAGAGAAATGGCATCACAATCACAGTCATTTGGACGGATTTGCGAACACGTGGTTCCTTATGGGCACAAAACTTTGTGGTTCGATGAGAGGAGTGCATGAAACATGTTGCGCATAAGCGTGAATCACATATTCCCAAGTCTGCTTCCACTAAACCAGTTATACAGGAGCGACAAGGACTTTTCTAATTCATCAACGTAACATTCACTACTCCCTCTTATCTTGAATGGTCGACCTTATGGGTAACCGAAGGACATCAACGACAGTCAGAATGCAGAATTGGACATCCGATGTCTGTATCCATTAAAACTGGAAACCATGCCACGTGGTACAGCGGCAAGTGGTTGAAACAGTATAGGAATGAAACAATTTGGAACATTGGAGAATGGTTCAAAAAAGAGCGAACTCTTTTACAATCATCTAGGGAACAAATGCGTCAAACTCAAGTATTACTTGGGAGCAACCGAAACTGGCGCGCGAAAGTGCGTGGTTAATGGTTGTACAAACTGAAAGCTGAAACTAAAATATTCAGGAGCAGAAGTGAGTACTTCGAACACGTGCCTGAATGACGGCTAGAAAAACAACAAACTGTGTCCACCAGGAAACGACAAACATGAAAAAGGGGGTGAAGACCTGCACTTAAACACAAACATTCCAGCGTCTGAAAGGATGAGCACAGTCTCTAACATTCGGTTTGCACAACTTACCTTCAAATCGCGATGAACAACCATTTTCTGGTGACAATACTGAACGGCAGACACAATTTGTCGGAATTTGACTCGTGCATCCGCCTCCTTCATTTTGCCATGTGAGACAAGGTAGTCGAACACTTCCCCTGTATTAAATGAACAAAACGGACGTTATCGATTTCGCACAATCAGAAGAACACTGATAAGCACAACAACAGTAGACAGGCAGTCAAAAAAGCGACGCTTGGATTCGACGATGATGAGAAAAATCGAACATGCGCAAAACTGTCGAGACATGTTGGTTCAGTAAACGTCAAGTAACCTTTGATTTCCAGTCGAAACGCACAATATACAGCAATTTCATGATAATAGATAGAGGCAAACTGTGGACCCGGGGAGAACACATTTCGCCGGGGACAATGTTAACTATTTAGAGACGTATAGAGCAGATATATCATAACTGCACGAGGTGAAGGCCGAGAAGAGCAAAGGTACATGATAGAAAATGGGTTTGCAATGACGAGTTATTCCGTAATGTGATTGTAAAAGCAACCATTTTCTATCCTAGGGAAATCGGTAACTGGGTGGGGATGCTTGTGTTTGAGTGTGGGTTTCACTACATGCGTGTTGAGTACATTTGTTCATGAAAAAGTAAAGTAAACGTCTTCACAATCCCACACTAACCCATGGTGTGACCGCTGCGTCACTCCTTCCCGGCTTACGCAGACCGAGTGCATGGAAATAGGCGATGAGCGAGCAAACGTAAGACATGGCTCGGCCATCGAAGGTGTAAAGCGACTTCCTCTTTCTGACTCTGCAATTCTCTTCCAACTCGTGGTTATCTTTGCGCAGTATCTGCGGAAATCGGTTTTATACATATGAAAGGAACAATGCGCAAAGTATGTGCGGGTAGATTGGGAACTCTGTGTTAACCACAGCGGACCACTTTCTTCTCCCCTCCCTCAAAACATATATAATCCTTGTCCATCGTACGTATTATCACGTTGTATGCGTTGTGTTTGACAACGATCAATGAAGTTCGCCCCACTGTATTCCGCCAGCGATGACGATGATGCAACTGAAAGATTTTATAGCAAACACGGCACTAAAATCTGATCTGTAGTGTGACTTCTACTATACAGAAAATAATTAAACCCGAATGGCTGTCTCGATTCCAAGTGAGAAAAGCTCCGGCGGTCTAGGAGTGAGGTTATGGTTATCCGCCTGTTGCTGCTGAGGATGCATAGGAAGTACGATTCACCAGGGTGCGTATGAATCAGACATTCGCGCCAAATAGAACCGCTACAGCGTAAAAAAAATCTAGCTGAGTATTTCAAGTTAACTGAATGTGCAGGACTTTTGAAAACGGGTCGTAGCGGGTACCACAATCGTTTTATCTTTTTCGGCCGGCAAGTCCTGTGGCTGAATTTTAATTGCTACCAACCATTTTATGGACAATCGATAATTTGTAACCTAGAAAGGGGTCCATTTCCTGAAAGGTAGTGGTTGCCACTTTGAGTGAAAGGTGGTCGAGCATGACACAATCTCAGTGGGATTACCGGAAATTGTACCACTGAAACGTGAAGACTCGGTGGATGGATAGCATTTTATTGGGCTATTGTTCTACTTTGTGATTCTTTTCCCTTAGTGTGCATAGGGTAAAGGCAGGGAAAACAAAATTGATTCATCAATTGAAAATGATTGGAGTCATTTAGGAAAGACGGAGAATAATTACTTTAGAACGAAAAAATTACAATGCAACTATGAATTTTTTTAGAGGAACGGAAGTCAAGTGGGTGTAAATCGGTGATCACTTATTGACCTATAACTAGAAATAATTTGGAACAAACGTTTCAGCCCTCAAGGCATAGTTGCTTGGATTTGATTCTCAACAGACAGATTATACCGGACTCAAGTAGACGCCCGTAAACAAGCAACCACATGGAAAAGAACACTCGGTAGAAAACTATTAAATAAAATTTATTAGCATGAGGAACAGGCAGCATAAATTGCAGAAGTTAACGTGATTTTCGAGTCACGATCAGTAACTAAGCATTTGGATGTTATCGCGTCGTATAGTATATAGGAAAACACGATGAGTGGCCAATATATACTTAAGGACAACAACATTGGTCAGCTTACCATTATTTTGTCCAAAATATTGAAAACACTTTGAGGATTCATGTGCTATCCTTTTATTTATGTAAATTTAGGAAACTTCCACATCCGGAAAAGTTAATTATAAATCATTGTATGCCTGTATTCTTCTCCACTGGCTTTATTCCTCTCATAAAAATGTTTAATGAACAAGAGGAAAATGAGCTGATCCTGCTCTCCAGGTACCCTAAATTCTTCCCAGATGAATTAGGACAACCAAATGTCTTGATTAAATTCGTAGTTGGTAAACCTTTTCGGTGCTTGTGATATGTCTGCTCGTAGAAATATTGTGTGCTGAAAACAACTGTTTACAAAATGAACTCGTTAAGCTCCTGTGGAATATGTGAAACATTCTTTTTCCCTTACTCGCTTCATCTTATCGAAGAACTGCGTTCGCTCGAAATTTAAACTTCTGTTTATTCCTACCAATAGATTACAAGAACAGTGTAGTCGGCACACTTTTTGGTCAGTCGTGCACAGACTATTGCCAATCTCGAAAACACGCATTACATTATTATTGTTCCTTTTACGGCTCTTATTCGTTTCACGCTGACTATCTGAACAGTACGGTTTTCGTCAATAATCTCGTGCGGGAATTTCAAAAAAAGTGCGGTTGAGAAACTGAAGCAAATAATAAAAACTCATGAAACTGGTAACGTCATCGAATGTGTAAACTTCCAGTCAGATAATCTACTTTGGGGCCACACTCGTGTCTTAAGAACAAGAATCCAGCAATTTTGTACGGACAGTGCAGTCAACTTTATGTACACCAGTGATGAATGCGTCATCATCATCATCGTACAAAGAGATTCGGTAAAGCGAACTTCAGTGATCGCTGCCAAGCTCATAATGTACACACAAGTGGAAGGCCCCCAGATTGATCGGTTGACGAGGCTTTAAAATCCGCATTTTATTTACATGCAAACTATTTACAGTGCTATCTGGCAACGACCTTTGGCGAGTGATGACCAAGTTGATAGAGGGAATGTTTTGGGTTGAAAGAAGGGGTAAAAAGAAAGGATTGGGTAGGGAAGATAAGGTTGGGATGTTTTGGCGGTGGCCAAGTGGTTAGATCACCAACTAGTGACTTGGGTGTCCCGGGTTCAAACCGCTCCACCGCCGCCGGTCTTCCCTATTTTTTTTCCAGGCAGTCTTTGTATGGCCGCAGCCCCCTTCCTGAAAGTTGACTGTACATTTGTATATTCAATAAGTAGAAAGAGAAAGTAAAAAGACATTTTTTGATCACTAGCCCACCCCGCTCGATGCAACGGACAGTGCGGTCCTGATCATCCTGCGCGACGACCGATGTAGTATGAAATTACTGTTAGTTTGTGTTCATTGGAGCCTTGTGACCGGGTACTGCCAGAGAGTCCAAACGCTAAGCAGGAGAACGATTAGGGTTCTTAACAAAAGCCTTTAATTCTGACAAGAACCCAACCGCAAGGCAGTGGTTAAGGCGGATTTGAAGCCCATTCATTTGGATCAATGACACCTTCAACACGTTTTACCGGCTGAGACGCCAACTAAAGTCGAACCCCCAACCTGAAAGACCAGGAGACTAGACTTCGTCTGACCTCTACCCATTGACCTTCCAGGCATGAATAGATCGATGGCTCGACAAAAGCCATCCTGTGTAGATGTACAAGCCATCAAACCACGTTGAGGTGCAGTCTCGTCGTGATGAATGCATGATAAATTCCGGCTAACCAAGTGGAATAACTATCCCTGGCAAACAAGCGTTAACAAGTCCACGCTTAACAAGGGTGAATTTCCTTATCAGCCGTAATGGACAGGACTAGACTCAGCAGTTGTGTGTCTAAGAGTTGAGCACTGACTGATAAAGTCCACTACGAATAACTTCAGCGAATGATGGGTGCATACCATGTAATTTTGGCGTGAACTGATTGGGGGGTGCACCCGGAGTAGCCCAGTTTTTCCACTAGAAACCCTTTGTACCCCGCTTTGGATCCCAAAGGGCTCATCGGATAAGCACTGCTGGTGATCGCTGGCAAAGTTAAAACGCCTAAGGCTTATTTAGCTAGTGATGAGGCTAGGACTTTACACGAGGGATTCAAATTTGATAAAAAATAAAGGGATAAAAACATTGAATTACTTTTCAGTTTATCAAGTGGCTCGATGTGGTTTGAAGAATGAATAGGGCTACAGGTGTGGTACGTGAATGTATGTTTACGTCTGCTCAAAAGATAAAAATTTCCTAACGGAATAGAAAACAAGGAAGTCGGTGTTCATTTGCGTTCCCGCGCACATGTTTAGGTGCGTTAGTCTTAACCGAAACAAACAGTGCGGGGAAAGGGGTAATTTAGTATGCTTCACGCGGTTGAGGGATTTTTGGCTGAGTTTTTTCCCGTTTGAGCGTCGGACGTTTGATTCCATCTATTAAAATTGCCCTAAATCGAAGGGATCGAAAGACAGTTTTGTTCAAACTAAAAAACTGAGTCGATGTGATACGGTATTGTTTGCTGAAGCATATCTAATTTTAAAATCTACCTATGCAATCCACTGTTGATACTTGTTGATACTTCGAAATATCGCGTATTGATGGTACTAGAGAACACATTTTTGGCGGGAGAGAATTCAGGGGATGAACGCGAGCTAAACGACTTTTGGAGTTCGAACGGAAATTTTTTTGTTCATAGTGTTTCAGATTGCTGGTCAGAAGTCGGGAAAGTAGTCTCTTCATCGAACAACTCCGGGTAAAGCAAGGTAAAAGAGACCCCTTTCGGTCACGAGTCACCAGCAAATGGAAGGAATCGACTACTTCAGCCGTGACTTGATATGAGTTGTAAACTATATTGAGTTTTAGTGGGACAGATAGGGTATGGAGCTAAGAATGAATTCTGTGCCTTTCGTGCAGAGACGAAGATAATGAAACAGATGCGGTTTCAACAAGAAAAAGAAGTTAAACTTGGAGTTAGTTTTGATAACAATTTAAATCTGACAGACGATCGTTATGCTTTATCGCTCAAAATGAGATCAGAGGTCGATTCAAAGACCTGCCCGCCCACCCCCAATCGTTCGATAGAATAGTTTAAGATACGGGGCTCCGACATGCTTATTCGATTCCATAATCAATCAGACAGTAGCCAAACTGAAACGAGTTTGGTGTAATTAGTGGAGCACAAACGAAGCATTCCGGTACCCAGCAGTAAACGCGTAATCCGATCTTCGTATACATTGAACAAAAGTAACATGTTTCCAAATATAGAGTGAAAGGACTATAAAAATCGATAGCTAAAAATGTAATAGCCGTCCAGTGAGACGATCGAAAAAGAACCAGGTGCAACATAGAATAGTCGAAGGGCGCGGTGCAGAAAATTTAAAAACAACTGACTTGGGGGTTAGGGCATTCCAAATCGATTTTTGGATTGTTGGAAGACCAATAACTGTATGATACTCCAACACGATTTTCATAAAACAATCGTGCTGTAGAGTTACATGTAGCAGACAATCAGCATGGTACCGTGGCTTGCAAAGAACTAATCAAACATCGATTGCCAGGTTTCTACGGCATACGTGAAGTGTAAAAAGGAGTACGATTTGTACAACACCATTGGACGCAATGGAAAAAGCCACATTTTACACTAGGTAACAAGGCATATCAACAAGGATGACGAAATTACCCGAAGTCGTAAAAATAACATACTGCTAGTTTAGACACGGGATGTAGACGGCTTGAAAACCTACTAGGGAATAGAAAAACGGTCCGTAAATTCTATCACATAAACAGAGGAGTGATCGAAAACTATCAATAACTTGGTGACTCAGTTATTGGTTCCCTTTCGTAATTCGATCGAAACTGTCGGTGAAATAGGGGACGGAAAATACACCAGTTCATATAGCCTATCACATCCCAGGACTGGACCGGGCCTCATGTGCGTAAACATGTGAGTGCCAAATATCTGTGTTGTGTGGTAATGCGAGAACAAACACATACGCACACACTCATCCAGTCCTTCGTTTATGCCAAATGAAAACAGCCCATGGACATTTTCAAAACACAGGAGCAGCACCGCCAAAACGGTACGATAAGCTTGTTTCGCCTAGTCAGCGGTCAACAGCACGGATCCGTTGTGATGCGACAGGCATGTGTGTGTTCCACAGCACCACATCATATCACCCGTACCAACAGTGGCGTCGGCGGTCGCAGTCTGAATCGTAACCGCAGTTGTAGAGGCCGAAACGGCAACAATAATCACCAGGGAAATTGGGCTGTAGAACACGTTCGTTTTCGCGGAGTGAGGAATCTAGCACAAACCACAGCATACTGAGTGGGAGGAAGAATGGGTTGGGTGCATCTGAATGGCTAAATGCCAGGGTAGACATCAGTCGGTCATTGGGTCGCGCATCTGTTGAAATCTGCGCCTGTGCACCACGGATGAATGGTATGCGCGCAATTCCAAAATCCCGCTTCAAGAATGATCGAGGGGGGCAGGTAGTGTGTAGCATAACTGTACGAATCGATCCTAGACAGATGCGAGCCAGGTCCGAAAAAAGGTTGCGAGCTTGTGGTGCATGACGGGCACACGCGCGCGCGCGCATATACACACGAATCGACGGACAGATGATGGGTATTCTAATGATCTCTGACCGATACTGGTTCATTTTTCTTGTTTCCATTTGACGGTTTTCGCGACCTCAGTGGGACTGATCAGAAAGCGTGGGTGCCAAAGCTGTGTNTGTGCGCGTGCATGAACATGGGACGCTGGTGCAGATCGGCAAAAACCGATCATTGCCACCTGACCCGAAATTGATTCGCGACCACGGATGCAAACAGAGCGACCAACGAGAGTGAGCAACAAAAACCCAAGGGGAAGAAATTAGGACATGGATAAAGGAGTGCGAGCATGTCCAGCACAGTGCAAAAGATGAGACGACGCACCGTAGTCGGGACGTGTTGACCTGCGGTAACNTGCACACCCAAAGACAGGTCTATAGACGGAACAAAAAATGACCAGCTTTCATTGTGCCCTGATTCAAACGCGTAGACAAGCGTGGAAAAAGTGTTTGGATATTCTAAAGGGTGTGAAGTGAGAGTATTAGAGGGATGATAGAATACTGCAGTATGCTTGAGATATATTTATTGTCCAACGCAGTAGTAGATTTCTTATTTCCAAGTTTAGTTTAGCATAATCGATTGGATCAGACACTCACATTTTCTAAACGGTTTATAGTTAATTCACCTTAGCCACATCTGGGTAATGACACACGCAAAAACCAAGCGAAGTCAAGATTTTAAGTTCGATATTGTAGTTAGCTGGGGTGAGATTCTAGCACGACATTCGTTCTTCAAAACAGACGAAAACTGTGAACAAAGATAACCTGGGCTGGATAGTGTCACCGATGGAACACATCATAAGACTTTGTCCGCAAAAGATGCATACAGTGATAAGTCTCTGCAAAGCGTACACTACGGTCTATTCAACAATGTTATTTCACTATTCAATCGCCGACCTAAAACAGCCAAAGTGCCAATACTGTCCGAAGAAGAGGAAACAGAGATATCGGAATAAAGACTCACCACCACTAGCGTATTCCATGACCAGGTACAAATGACGCTCAGATTCGATCACCTCAAGCAGTTTGACTGGAATAAAAAGGAACAAAAGATGAGCTCATACATGGTGCAAATGAGTGAGATGGGTGTGGAAAACCATCCAACACAGTGAAACCCTATGTTAAGTTAACGCTATGATTGAGGCAATCCGTATTCAATTAAAGGAAGTAAAAACAAACGATTTCCCGTTTTCCATTTACTGTTCATCTATTCCAGCACGAAATTTGTCCTCATTGTTGCAAACGCGTTCCTGCTTAATTGATCCATTCTTGTTTGTTCGCCATGCACCCATCTGTCGACAAACCTCCTATGCGGATATGTTGCATCATTTGCTCTCTGTATTTACCTCAATGTCGATGTTTACCCGTAAGGCATCGGGCACTCCCAGTGGGATTTGCGCAGTGATTACCTGCGAAAACACATTCTTTCGCCTCAGGGTGACACGGTACTCAAGCTGTCCCGCGTCACAACAAATAGACTACGTGTGAAAATGCGCAGGTACATGGCAAATATATAGCTGCATAGGACAATGGTGGCTATCGACCGCAGGATGAGTCATTCACGGTATGAAGAAGACAGCTAGAGACAACGTATCGCTGTCTGTCATATATACTTCGACGTAAAGCACCTAAAATCCATTTAGGGGGAAGAACCCACGTGCCTGTGTAGGAATAAAGTCACTGTCCAAGAGAAAAACAAAGCATATTCAGAAAGAATAGACTCTATGCTGAATGAATCTCAACTGTAAGAACAGGTACTGATATATCGGCCGTATATGGA